GACGTTTTAAAAGATAGCTAGAAAGCTTTCTTGGCCTGAAATTCAACCAGCTTTGAACTTATCTATATACTGTTTAATTAATGTCTTTGTGGACCAACATTAAAATAATACTGTGCTCTAATCCTCTAAGAAGTAAGGCTGTCTCAGAACTGCAGATGAACTACATGCTGCATAAATTAAAATTTGCAGTGTACAGTATCTTTCTGGTGCTTTATTAAATGCTGTGATTATGCAAAAACAGAAAAGTATGAAAATAGATGTTTCTAAAAAATCATTAATGTTCTGTTATCTTCCTTTTTTTTAACATTTAAGTCCATTTCCACTTGGAATTAGTGTGCTTTCGTTCAATTATTTCATCTATTACTGCTAAGAGGAGCATGCTCCACAGTTTGTGTCATACATCTGTATTTTTTTTCTAAATTCAACATGCTTAATAGAGGAGAAAGCAGTCATTTATTTCAACATGTCATTAATTTTCTCAATTTACTCTGTTTCTTGGTCAATAGAATAGGCTTTTCAATGTAGTGTAAACTAATTCCAGTCAGAAGAAAGTGATATTAACACAAATGACATGTTTTTGAATAAGAAATATTACCAAATACTCAGTGTATTTAGTCTGCACAAGACTAGTCTTTGAATAAGTCTGGAACATAGCTGGGATATTAACACTGCTTGTCAAGCAGAAAGAGGGAAAGGCTGCCCTTCAGTGATGGAGGTTAATTTAATCTAAACTGCTTGATGGTCTTCAGTTTGGCAGTTCCATTTTGCCTGACGGAAGAGCAGAGGTGAGCCACCACCTGTCCCCTGCCCATCCCTGTTTCTGCACGGGTGGGTTCGGGGGAGGCTGGCTCACGCTGCTGCACTGCTCCCAGTGAATCAGGTAGCCAGAGGGAAGGGCTGCTGAGGGTCTTGGTGGCACCTGTGCTGCTGTGCCAGTAGTCTGCAGCAAAACATCAGGAGGTGGAAAAAGCCCATGTAAATTAGCTCCATTGCTACGAAATCGATAGGGTTAGAGATTTACCTCCCTGGAGAGTTTCTTTTGTTTGATGGTAAAGAGTAAAAAGTGACTCCAGGATATTAAACTGAGGTTATCCCCCTTCTAGAAAAGCTGACTCCAGCCGCAGTGAAATCAAGTATCCATGGTCTTCCACGCAGGGAACAAGGACCTTGACTGCTGCTCTAGACCAGAGGTCCACTTCTATGGCCTTTGTGCTCCTCCTGCCAGGGACTGAGGCTGTGGGGCAGCTGCTGAGATGTAAGCAAAGGAACAATCAATTACCTGGAAAACCTGAAAGAATTGCTGGCAGCCCAGGTTTTTCCACACTACATGGGAAGAATGATGCACACGGGGAAGCATCTTTCTATATATAGATCTGATATTGAATACTCTGAGAATGGTACCTATTTACTCTTTATGAAAACAAAAATGTATTCGCAGAGGCCAGTATCAGGAAAAGAAAGGCACTTTGATGTTACTTTGGCTATTTTGATGGTTATTTTTGGAAAGTATGAACTAGTAGATACGGTTATGTGTGAATATAGTAGTAGGAAGACATGAGTCTGCATCTGTTTTTAAGAGTCCAGCTGTGCACACACTGACACTGTGATTCATATGCTGACCTTAATTCATATTACAATGCCCCTTGACAGTGTGCCAGCTGTGAACACGAGCATGAAGTATAACAGGATTCGTCCTTGTGTGTTGTCATGAAAATATGAAGCTTGTCAGCCTTCTCTTAGTTACCTTTACCTTGTCAGATACTATAAACAAGGATATTCAATGCCATGAAGTATATGGAAGATACTGATACTACCTGTCAGGAAGGTCTAATTGATTAATGTTGGATTGGATACTAATTACATATAAGGCAACCAGTTGCAGAGAGTGAGGCAGAGGTTGTCATCTTTTTAGACTAGACTTCATAGATGACTTTACTGTGTAGAATTGAAGTGGTAGTTATCTTTTCATTAGGTGGAAATAACATTAGAAGTGGTTGGAATGGAGTGTTGCAAGAGTTTTCAACTTCCTATTTTACTATTAGTATTCAGTCTAAGAACTGAGAGAGCCCTGTTGTTTTTAAATTATTTAAAAAACCAATTTCCAGTAAAGAAATCCAGATGAAAATGCTCACTAACGAAATCAAACCACCAGATAACTTCTTTTGCCCCTGTTTGATTTTAATGGAAGGTAAAGATGTAGGTTTTTGGGTAAATGGCCCATTTGGAGAAAAGGCTTTTGTGATTTGGAACAGAGTATTTTCTGAGCTTGTGTAATATCACAAATGACTGCAATATTGTCACTACTAAGGAGGAGAAATTTTTGTCCAAAACTTAGTAATTGCTCACCCTTTCCTTCTCTTAGATACCCATTGCTGGAAACATTCTCTGGTGGATATATGGGGACAACAGCCCTCTCTCTGAGCTAGTTTGATGTAAGGACAGTGCCTTGTCCAGCTTTCAGCTTAAAATAGCCAGAATAATGCAGCAAAATGGTCAGTTTATCATTTACCATGTCTATGTGTCTGTATAGGGAAGCTGCTTGTTTGAGCTGCATATGCTGCCCTGCAGCACTCCAGTAAGTTTAGCTCAGGGGTAGGCCTGCTTTGAGAGTGCATCTTCAGGACTGCATACAGTCCCACCCCAAAGCCAGAGCATGCAATTTGGTAAAAATACTGCTTTCAGTTTCACTGGGACATGGGTGCAATTTATGTTGCTCAAAGTAGGGATTTGTATCTGAGAAGGCTGCACCGTGGCATCCCACACGCTGATATTTTTTGTTTCATGAAGTACCTATGGACACAGGCTTGTGAGTAAGATGGGGTAGAAAGAAAAGGCTCTGCTTCTCAGAGCTTTTGCAATGGGACTGTTGAATTCTCAACATTGTGTCATCTCATGCAAAAATGACTTCAAAGCTCTCCCTGTATTGCAAGGACATGCATCAGTCTTTCAGTTCCTGCTTCTGTGCTTAGTTGAGCTGTATCTAGTACCTAGAAACTCTGCTTGTGTTTAACTTTTGTGTTGCATTGACACTGAAAATGCATCTAGAAAAATCCAATTGGTAACATGATATGTTTTTTTCCCGGAGTAAGTGCTGAATTTCAAGCTTGTCATAGCTATCCTACCCAGACATTATTTCATATGATTATGATGTTTTACATTAGTTATGGTCTGGGGATTGATAGAAACAATGTTTCTGTCACCAGAGGCTCTGCCCTAAAAATAGCCAAACATGTAATGTTTGGCAAGGCATGGGTAGGTCAGTTAAATTGTTATTAACTTAGATATCTGAATAAAGAAGGCAGAAAGAGAAAAAAAAAAAAAAAAGAAGCATCTATGTTCAAAAAAGTGAGAGCAGCCCATATATTCTATGTCTGAAAAGCAGAAGAGTGCATTTCAGATTTCATCACTAGTTCCTATTCCTAGTTAAAATACTAGCTGCAGTTTGGCACTAAAGTAATTTATTTGTAGGATCAGTACCTCACTGTTCAAAAAGGAGAAGAAACTGAGGCTTCCAACTTTTACAAAACAAAACCAAACCAGAACCAAAAATAGATGAGACCTTATATGTTCTTTAAACGATCCGAGAGCTCTTTCACTGAAGATGCATGTTGACTGGCTGAGTAAGTAGCATATAATTTTTTCCTAATTAATATAACTCCACTGTAGATAGAAAATCTCCATTTTTCAATTAGCTAAATCTCTCTTTTGTTATTTTTTTCCCCAAGACTAGAAGAGAAGAGGACTTTAAGCATTGTTGTAGTCCACCTGATAATTTTCATATTATATGCACTTACAGATTTTTATCAGCGGCTTAATGAAACAGAACAATTTCACCTTTTGCTTACTTTGTAGTTTCACTGAAGCATGTACAAGAAGAATCAGACAGATTGGTACAGTCTTGCTATTAGCAAAACATAACTTTATCTGTTACATAGGTTTATAATACTGTATTGTTATGATTTTTTTTTCTAAATCCCTGATCCTTTATTAAAAATGTTTCAAGAAACAGTTTTGGGTTCAAGAGAATGAGCCTTGAATATATTAATGTTGCTTGTTTTACGAGTTTAAGCCTTATTGGTTATGCATAAGGTATAGAGCATTTGGACCCACTGCTGAGAGGCTTATAAATGTTTCACGTATGGCACCATGAGACCTTGTGTATGAGTTCAGATAACTCAGAGATTGCTCTGTTTCGCACAGCCTTCTTGGAAGAATATCTTAGGTCAGTGAGTATCAACATTACATACTGTGCTTTGTCCTTCTTTTCTTCTGACTCATCTAGTGGTAAAGGAGAACTTAGATTGGACTGTGTCTAGGGTTTCCCTTGTGTAAACAGGGAGGATAATTAAAAAGGCTCAGTTAATTAGTATTTTTGAGTTGTTCAGACCTTACAGTGATAAGGTCCATAAAAAGACCAAGATAGAAAAATTATTTACTTGAAGACCATAATCCTCTATGCCCTTTGTCAACATTTGTCCTGTGTAGACTGTTATGGTTTCATAGCAGTATAATATCTTTCTGCAGCATTTCTCTTTTGAAAAATTCATAATACTTTATAAAGAGTGAACTACTTATCATAATACCTTTTGAGGTTGGTGTATGTTTTTTTATTATAATGCTTTGAGAGCTTAAATTACAATTCATGCAAGTTAGTTGTCCATGAGAGGTCTGTGCGGAGCTAACAATAGATCTGTTGCAAGTGTTGGCCTCTGATTTTAGTCTTCTGCTTTGACTTATGAGGAGACAAATTAGTGGTATTGGATAGTATCTAACAAAGAGAGTCTAAGGAGCACTGAAGCATAAGGAATGCATGTACAGTTAGAGGTTCTAGGTTTAGAGGTTCACCTAGAATTTGTGGCCGTGCTTGTTTTGCTTACTGAGAACTATAAAACAGAAGTCTATGAACTAATGATAGTGTCTCATTCTTCTGGAGTGTTTGTTCATCATTCAGATTCATAGGTTCTTGTAGAATGGTTCATCTATGTCTGATTCCCCTTAAGCCCTAGCAGGTGGCTGCTTAATGGAGGCTGTGACCCTGTGGAAAGCCTGTCCTGGACCTGTGAACCCAACAAGAGAAGCCCAGGCTGGAGCAGGTTTGCTGGCAGGATTTGTGACCCCACAAGGGATCTATGCTGGAGCAGGCTGTTCCTGAAGGACTGCACCCCGTGGAAAGGACCCATGCTTGAGCAGTTTGTGAAGAAATGCAGCCTGTAGGAAGAACTTACATTGGAGAAGTTTATGGAGAACTGTTTCCCATGGGAGGGATCCTACACTGGAACAGGGGAAGAGTGTGAGGAGTCCTCCCCCTTAGGAGGAAGGTGCAGCAGAGACAATTGGGGTGAACTGACCACAGCCCTCATTCCTCATCTCCCTGCACCCCCGAGGGAGAGAAAGTAGAGAAAATGGGGAAAAAAGTTAAGCCCAGGAAGAAAAGAGGGGTGAGGGGAAGAGGTTCTTAAGATTTGGTTTTATTTCTCATTTTCCTACTCTGATTTGACTGACAATAAGTTCAATTAATTTTCCTCAAGGTGGGTCTATGTTGCATGTGACATTAACTGCTTAATGATCTCTCCCTGTCCTTATCTCAACCCGTGAGCCTTTATTTTCAATTTTATCTCCCATGTCTAGTTGAGAAAGGGAGTGACAGAGCAGCTTTGGTGGGTACCTGACATCCAGCCAAAGTCAACCTACCACAGCCATACTGATCTCTCAAGAGTCTTGCGCAGAATTGTAAAACTTTATGTTTCGGGCTGTCCATATTTCTGGTAAACCCTTTGGGATTAGACGTGAGATAACCACCCACTGACTGATAATTTTCAAATGTGCAGGATAACCTTCGTGGCTCTTTGTGATGAATTACCCTTGACATGAGGGAGGTAGCACATTTGTTTCTAGTTCTGAATCAGAGCCCAGAAGCAGAAAGGAATTGTGTTCTGGAAACTCGCCATAACCAGGCTCGTGCCAGTCTGTAACACAGCAGTTCTGCAGTGAGTCTGCATGGTTATCATTGTCATTACAGCTCATCCTCTACATAACACTTTTTCCCCTGGTAGGTGTCTCAGGAATCAACAGCCTTTCTGGAGCTATATCAGAAACATCCTTGACAGTCCCATGTCCACTCCATGACCTTACTGATCAGTCGCAGTGTCTTCTACCTGTCTGAGGTTTGCCAGAATTTTGGTGGTTTATTTTTTTCAGGGATGTAGATGAATTGGGCATGTATCATATGAGGGTACTTGCTTTGCTGATGTGGTTTACCTGAAAAAATTCTCATTAATTACAGTGTTCACAAGGCCTTGAGCCATATCCTCAGCTCTTACTGAGTGCCCAGAGGCTGAGCCTCTGATAGCTGAAGGTTTGCTTTGAAAGCCCATTCTGCCCTGAGAAGATACATACCCCTTTTATTACAGTTAACAAAAATGACATTTTCCAAGGACCTTCCAAGCAAATGCTTCCACTCCTGTCCCACTGCTGCTCTTTTGACTATTTTAGTTACTGACAACCTAAGGAGCTTCTTTGGTTTCTTGTTTGGGCACTTTCCCTCTCCCATAGACCCTGGATAGGCTGGCTTGTGAAGGTGTAATGTCAGCAGTGATGAGAAATAAAAATGGCTGTGGCCCAGGCAGAATGTGGATGTGGAGACAATGAAACTCCCCTCAGTGTTTGGCTACTCATGTTGTCTCACTGCAAGTACTGGAGTATTCCCAGCTGCTCCTTAGTTGGACACTGCTGTTACTGTAATTTAGATATACCTAAGTGTTCTTTCTCTAGCAGTGTTTTCTGTGGCCTGGTGGAAGTACTCCTAGTCCTCTTCATATTAGGCAGGTTCTGCATGTTTTGGTGGCAGCACATCCTGTGTGGTTTTCCAGTGCAGAGACAGCAAGGGCAGCGTGGTCTTTGCTAATCCTGGTCCTCCATCTGAAAAAATTGCCTGTAAGGAAACCTAGTGCAGGATTGGCTTTCCTGACTGTGTTTACTCGTATGCTTTGATTATCTGGGAGGTTCTGCCATGCTTACATTCACATTTTTGCTGGATCAGTGCAGCTTGCCTGTACAGACCAAAAACTGTTAGTTGCACAGGCTGTAGTGGAGAGCATATTGTGTGGTGTTCTCTCCAGGGCTTTAGGGAGGTGTTAGTTAGAAACAAGGCTGAATCTTGGAGCTGGGCAGTGTCCTGCAGATGCAGTGCAGCTGTTCAGTATGAACAGATTTGCTCTTTGGTTGCCTGTGAAGGTGCTCCCAGAGAGTAGCTGTATATGCTGGCCATAGAGCTAAGTATGTGTTAAGTGGGGGGCTGAACAAAGAAGTGAAGTGGATATTAATGCATAAGAATGGAGATAAAGAAGAACAAGAGGAAGATTATGCCACTGTTCAAGATTGATTTAGCAAAGCTTTTTATATTAGACTTTTATTTCTGTGGCCCTCAAGAGTTAAAGGATAGCATAATTCATGTACAATTCAGTCTGCTTTACAACTGATACTTAAAATTTTTATGAGGCAGACAGTATTTTCAAAGTATGTTACATTTTCATGGAGTTACATGGGATTGCATATGAATGACTACAAATTTCTTAATTAAATTAGTAACTGTGTATCAGGGTGCATGAGTTGCCAGCATTTGTAGATGTTCACGCTTTTGAATCTGTCCCAGAGTATCTTGGTCTCCAGATAAATGATGTAAAATAGTTGGTGCACTGTACATCTACAAAGAAATTGCATCCACGCGGGATATTGTGAGGTTTTTGTCTGGTTTAGAGATGTATCTGCACTCTATGGGAAGTAGAGTCCATACTGGAAAAAGGCATAAAAGATGCCAGAGCTTGAAATGATGTTTTGTACTTGGAACCTTTGTTTCCAGAAGCAAATCAGAGAAATAAATTTTCTTGACACTGAATTTGGGATCAGACTTTAGACCTGTGAATGCTGCCTTTATTTCTTCTTGGATTAGTGTTTATATGTAAATGTCTTTTAATGGTTTGCCATTTATTTTGGGATGATATGGTATCATTAGAATAATTTAGATTATAAACACAAGAACACTGCTCTGTTAGATGGCATGTGATTGATAAGTTTGCACTCTTTTTTGATAGCAAATAGAAGTTTTGAATAATCAGTCAAGATTCAAGAATGCTACTTTTTTTTCATTAAGGGCATTTTACTAGCTCCCATTTCCCTATCAAATGGAGTTACTTTTAAAACTAAAATGACAATATTTGGTGAAGCAAAGTGCATTTGTTTCCACTTAATTAGAATATTCAGTTTTGAACTTAATTAATATATTGCCATTTTTTTTCTTTTCATTAATCTGTAAAGAGTTGTTTATATATCTGGATGTGGTTTTCTAAATAGAACCTTGGCTGGCTTCCACTGCAAGCTAATTTTTACTGCTATTCATTAGCTGACTTATCAAAATAGGGTAATCAATGCCTGTCATAACATAAATACATGACCCTTTTGAGTAGCCCAGGTGGCTATATTTGCTTCTCTCTAAAAGGAGTATAAATTACTAAGGGAAACAGAAGGTCAAATTAACATTGGCAAACTTAGCTTCAATCAGTTTTTCTGTCTGGTTTAGAAATACTGAATTTTTTTAGAGGCTTATTTTTCATAAATTTCTTCGTAAGTCACCTGGGGACACACCCTGTTTTGTTTTTTTTCCTGATACTGCATTACTGAAAATTGTTGGATTCTGCAGAGACAAAAATACAGCATAATGAAGACATGACAGTCAGTGGATGTTATTGAATGAGATGTATGACTTCTGTTACAGAAATTTGAAATAATCTTATTAAGTATCACGTGTTTGGACAAATTGAAAGAAGTTGCAATTCTACAAAGACTTGTCTAACATTAAAACAGTAAGCAGGATGCTGAGTTGTTATTAAATAAGATCCTTGAGATGATTGATATTTTGTTTTGCTTTAATTGTAGGATGACAGAAAAATGAACTGGATTCCTCATAGGGTTTTTGAATCTGATCTGTGGTTTCTGTGATCTGTTTTAGGTTTGACAAAATTGTTTGGTTTTGCTTACTTTTGAATTTTTGGGGTAATTTGCCTACAATAAGAAGTAAGTTTTTGTATTGTTTTGTTTTAAACTGCCCAATAAAGCTTTACTTTTACAAATACATTTATATAACATATTTTACATGAAATACAAATCTGTAAAGCTAATTTTGATATTATTTTGGTAGTTTGAGTGCATTTCTGGGTAGATTTTGTGGATATAAATTGACTTTTGTAGAGGTACATATTTTTAATACAAATTTTCTGACCTTAACTCTGAGGTGACTAGTACTGTAACATCAGGAATTTTAGTTTAGCTTAGGTATTTAAAATTTTCTTTTGATTTTATGTGTCATATGATGTTATAATGAATGTTTCTCTTCCTTTGTGAAAAAATTAACTCTTCAGCTATAAAGCTGTTTTATGAGATCTGCTTTATGTAAATGTCTGAGGGGAGACTCAGAGGCATTTTAAAGCACGGTGTACCTAATAAATCTTTAGAGAGTTTTGGTGGCGAAGACTGGTATTAAACTCCTTCAGATAAAACACCAGACTCTTGATAATAATTTTTTGCTAGTTGAGTGTTAGGGTTGTTTATGGAAAGAAAATTTCTCTCTGACATTTTTCATTCTTGGACTGTTTAGTGAATAATGTTATACCACTACTGCAGGAATTAAATACTGTTGGTATTGTAGCTTTATAAGTAATATCTATATAAAGAGACATTTCAGCATTTTACAGATCTTGGATTGTTTTGGTTTGAGTTTTTTTTTTTTTCTTTTATCTGCTGAAAAACAAAATCGAAAAATATTACCCTGTTTGTTTTCCAGATGTTTCAAAGATTTGCAAATACGCAGTCAAAAGAGGTGGAAATTGTGTTTTATATCTATTTTGTTTTAGTGCATATCTAAAGCCAATACAGAAAATTTTAGTTCTATTAAAAAAATTCTGAAAGTGTTAATCAATAGCAGAAAATGCAAAACATGGAAAGCACGTATAGGTTATGCCATGGAATTATTCTTACTTTATTATTGTTATTATTATTATTTTATTATTTTATTTTTTCTAGGAAGTCATAAATTGGAACCTGATATACCAGAAACCAATATATATTAGTAAGAAAGGAAGCAAAGTGTGTGTCAGCAGCATGGAACATGTCCTCAGAATCACACTCAAGAAGCTAAAAGTGAATAAATCTGCAGAGACTATCATTTAGATGTAGCATTTGTTCTTTGACTTACTTCTTTATGGAGTTAAGTACTTTTTAAACTACCCATAAATATGTTTTCTTGTTTCTTTCTTTCTTTCTTTTGCTCACATTGGCATTATCAGAGCAAAATTAATTTCTATTATTAGCCTCACAATTCTGAATCTTATTGCCTCTTTCTCAGCCTAACATCTCTATAAAGGGGAAAGGCAGTTGACTTTAACAAATTCTAATTTTATTACTTGTCTTATGTCTTTTGTTGTTGTTATGCACAGTGGCATAAAATAGCAGATCAAATTGTGTTGAATAACATCACAAAATTGAAATTTAGTGGCTTTCACGGTATGAAACCAATAAAGAGCTGTAATATTACTGTTCACATGACTGCACTACTACTGAGTTTTTGGGAACCTTCTTATGTATCTATTAGTATGCTCCATTTGGAATAGGAACTTGTTATTGGGTTTTGTGATATCTACATTTGAAGTTTCAGTGTGATATAAACGTGTGATTATCTCATTTATTTTAATTGCATAGGCATTACATTGCCAAAATCAAACATGCATTTATAAAGTCAGTATATGTTCCTGAGAGCTTGTTAGAATATTGAGTAACTTATGATATCTGTACTTTGCTAAAAGACAGTTCATGACATGCACATTAAATGTTTATTTTTTACATTTTTGGTATGAGGAAAGTTCATATTATGCAAGAAAATCCTAAGAAATCATAAAAGAGACAATATTGAAAGTTTTAAGAAGTTCTCCATAAGAAGTTCAGGGCTCCCTCTCTGAACATACCTCTAAGGATATGATTTGATTTTTAATTTCCACTGATCTTTTTATGCAGCTCATCTATTTCTCAGTTTGAGACTGGGAAATTTGTTGTGTCTTGAAATTTAATGGAAAGAAATGGAATTTAGTAAAGCAAACAAGAAAGGCTGTAGCAATCTTATGAAAAATAGAAAAAACTCTACATTAATTTCTTTCTTTGTCTAGTAGAAAGTAGAAAAATTCAGTGGGCCATCATGAAAAACTGTCTCTCCATGTTAAATTTGCCTTTTAGAAGTCATTAGTTCATTGCATAGAAATAAAAACAAAAAAAAAATTGCATAATCTGGGGTTTTTTTACATGAAAATAAATATTGGCATTTCCCACCTTGCTCAGCAAAAACACAAGTAACAATACATGTGGCAGTGGGAGGCGATAATCAGATACCACTGACATTTCCTGACTTCAAACTTTGTCTGCTGCTTATGCCAAAGATCTAAAAAAGTCTGGATGTGTGTTTCAGGAATGCATTTCTGCTGTTTTTACCCTCTTTTGCCAAACTGCATTCACAAAAGACGCAAGAAGCAGCAGATTTATTTTTTTTAGAAATTTGACAGCTTTCTACTTTGGATAAAAACCTCTAAAAAAGACTTCATTTGAGACTGGTATTAGGTTCTTCTTTTTTTCAGTGGGAATTACCATTTCTAGGGACTTGAACATTTAGGTTCAATAAAGAAATATCCTAGAGCTTCTGTTGTAGTTAAAGATAGGAAATGTATATGAACTCTTACCAGTGTGTCTTCTCAAGTTTGAAGACGTGCAGATCCTATTCCAATGCTACACCTCCTATCTTTGCCAATGTGCACAGGAGTGAAATTACTGCCTCTGTTTCATTTTTGTTTTTTTTCTTTGCTAGTTTGAAATCTCTGTCTGAAACTGAAACCTGCAAGTTTCACATATGCTACTGGCATTTCTGTGTAGTACCTGGAGTTATTTATAGAGCAAGAAGATCCAAGAGGGAAAAAGCACTGGTAAAAGTTATATTGAAGTAAAGTATTTGAAGACCTCTTACTTCTAGCAATGTTTAATGTCTGTAGAAGAAGCAAATTGTTCCCTTAGTTCTGTGGAAATAAAAACATTTAGGTGAGATGTGCAGAGTTAGGTGCATAGAAGGGGAGTCTGAGAGCAAGTTGGGATCTGAGGAACAGCGCCTCAGCTGAACTCCCAGTACTCCTCCTCATTCATAGCTCAAAATGGAATAAAGATTTCAGGCATAATGTTTGGGGTTCTCATTTATGGAAACTTTGCTCTTAGCTTTACTCTTTTACTGTTTTTCTGTAGGGGTTGCCATTTGGTTCACAGAGTAAGACATCTTAAGTATTGATGTGTAGCTGTCTGTATGTCGATGGAACTGTTTTAAAATACAAACCTGGATTTGGTCATCTTAATCCATAAATTTAATCCTACCCTGGATATCTGGGACATTTTCAGTGCTGGCAAACTGAAGAAGATCTGGGAACAAGAAGAAGACAGATCAGAAAAAGAAAGAACAAGTCCCTCTTTAGGCTTTAGCATCTACAGAGAAGGTGACAGCTAGTTTAGTCAAGCTAGATTTACGAAGATTTCTATACACTTGTTGGTAAAAGTGACTGAATGGTTGTGTAAATTAATCAAGTCTCAGCAGAGGTGACCAAAAGAGAACAGTAAGCATAGGCTGTATGTCAGGCACCACTCTTCTATTTTTTTTAAATGCATGTGCTGGAGTACTTATCTGAGATGTATGAGCAGACCTTTGAGTAGCCCTTGAAGGAAGGGTTTCTGTCTCTCTGCACTTCAGCTTAGACCAACTTGCTATTCACACTACTCAGCCTCTGTGCCAGAACTGAACCCCAGTGGAACCAGCGATTGAGGGATTTTTGAAACATTAAAAACCTGTATAAGAGTCACTAGATCTCAGACTAGTGATTCCAGCAGTTTTTTGAAGAGGCTGAAATCAACTTTGGTCCCTGATCCTTCAGTGTTCCTTCAGTGTTCCTGTGCAATGTATCAACCATTTCATTAACACAGAGGTTGTCCAGGGATTAGTTCTGATGAGAGTTTGGAGAATTTGTATCTGTGGGTAGATGGGTCACATAAAGAGTATGTATCATTATGTATTTTCCTATTGATTAGTCATTTCAGGTAAGAGAAATCTTAATATTTACATTTCAAAGTTTATACATGTTGGATATTAATATCTTTCTTTGTTAAAACAAACACAGTACATATCTTACATAGCATGAAAATAAAACTATTGTGATAGAAACTTTTGTTGCTACTTAGATGAGAGATAAGTAGGTAAATTAGCTAGTCCAGAGGATTAATATTTAAAGTTATGAAAAAGCAGCCCAGAGGAAAATTAGTATACTCCACTGAATTACAAAAACAACTTCTGGCTAAACTAAGTGCAGCCCATTGGAATTGAAAACTCAGTTGTTTTCCTGTTACTGTCATATTGCACATTGCTCTTATGGAAACATGTAGTTTCCCTCTGTCATCCATAGTATTCCTTTAATTTTTAATATGCTTCAAGAAACAGGTGTCAACAGCAAAGCTAGTTTTTCATTATTTATGTGTGCTCATATCTTTAGCATAGAGGCCAATAAAACATCCACACGTTCTTCTGTCACTTTTCATTTCTACATTCTAGATTAGAATTAGTTACACATGGTGGTTCGGTACAAATGTGGTCAGTGTGACACAGTAGATTCTGCATGCCAGTTTCTGGTGTTTAGGAACGTGACTATATCTAGTAGTTATGGATGAAAGGTCTGTGCAGTTTCACCAGAAATATGAGAATTTTTGGCCATTCCTTTGTTCTCACTGTCAAATACAGAATCTTACCCCCTGAAGGTTAAATGAAAAGTACTTCTGTACTTATGGTAAGTTTATGCTTTGCTGAGAGCATAGATTCATTAAAAGCTTTCCCAAACTCATTTTGTTACATTTTGTACTGCTTATGTGGTCTTGTAGAAGTTTCTTCCTGCTGCTGATGTCACTCTAATTTAGGATTTCCTTTTTATTTCCATCTAGGCAGTATTCTAATCCAGATAGTTTTTTTTAATTACTATTTTCTATATTTATTTTTTCATCTGAGTTGTTTTTTTTTTTCTGTTGTACCAAAAATAGATAGATGACATCTTACAGTCAAAATGTTATTCTGGGCAAAAGGAAACATACTATAACATGAACCCAAGAATTTACTACTGCTCTATTTAAATCTTAGCAATCTAATAAAAAAGACAACAAGCAGGTTCAAAAATAAAAGTCTAAATTAATACAGCAATTTTTACTGTATTTTTAATCAAAATACTATTGTTATATTGGAAAAATTGCAAATTTTGGCCTCTTTCTCAGATGCTGGAGAGAAATTATCTGTTGTCTAAAAAATGTAACAATTACATGTTCATCAGCATTAGGCTTGGCAAGAAAGAAATTGAGTCTACACTGAAAGAGTCAGTGAGAAATTTGTTTTGAGGTCAGTAAGACTAGTATGACGCTGTAGCAGGAATAAATGAAACCAGAATAACCTGAGTTTAACTAGTTGGATACTCTGGTAAATTGTTTGGTGTCATCTGGCTTCCAAATCTGTCTTAGTTATTTTTGGAGTAATTTGGAGATCAGGAACTTGAACACTGAGAAGCACAAAGATGGCATAGATAAAAAAAAGGGAGAATTTCAGTCATGTGATGAAAGTCAGAAAATAAGCTTGGGGAGGTTTTGTACTCCTTGTCCAGTTATTGCCCAGAAGGACACACAATATGTGAAAGGTAAAGAATTTAGTGTATTTTAAATGTTAACAGTCTAATCAAAGAATTCTTCTTTAGTCGAGATCTATTTATTATGGAAGAAGAAAAAATGGTGTTACATTCATCCTTCCTGTGCTTTTTCAGCATCCCAAGCCTGTTGGCTTCAGTTGTGGTGAGCCACCACCATCATGAGTGCTCTGCTGGGAGAGCATGATGTCTGTGTTGGGGATTCCTTTGTCCTCTGCCAGGAGGACTGTGATGTTGGTTTTGATGGTTTCTTCTTCCTTTCTCTAGTGCTCACTTGGGACTACTATTGTGTGTTCTGTATCATACCTCGGTTTTACTCTTCAGTCTGCAAATTCACATTACAACCAAATCTATTACAGAGTGTCTAACACACTGGGTGCTGTTCTTTATGCTCTGTTACACCAGCATCTGGTTTTGC